AAATTGATACTCCCTCCTTTGAATATTATCAGGTATTTTAAAAAAAAAAATATCGTGTTAAAAAATATAAAATATTTTGAATCTTTTAAGGTGCAATTAATAACATTTTTTTCAAAACACCCTTAATTAGGAATATAACTAATAAGGTTTTTTTAATTGAAACAGCCTACTAAAAAAATATAGAAAGAATGTGTGATTTTAAAGACAATTAATTAACTCATTGGGAGATGTGATTCAATACAAAGTGTCTAATAATATTGAACAAAGGGAATATGCAAGAGTGAAGTGTCGCTCCTAATTTTATTATTTTTTGTAAAAGGGATTAATAATCATTTTTGTCACTTAACTTTACCCAAAGGATTATTGAATACCTTAAACTTAACTATAGGTTAATTTTATCTTTTAATATTAAAGATTCCCTCCCTTATCACGTTATTTTTTTAATTAAATTAAGAGTTATTTTTATCCTTAAATTTTTACTTCAAAGGTGAGTGGGTGCCCTTAATTTAAATATTTTATAATAAAAAATATTAAAAAAATATAATATGAGATCCACTTACAATGAAAACAAGGTGAAAAAATAATAGGATGATGAGAGAAAGAATTTTTAATATTGAGATATAAAATTAAATTTTAATAAAGTTTAGAATACTCAGTGAAATTAAGGGATAAAAATAACCTCAAACTTTTGCTCTTCAAAGTTATTAAATTCACTTTTAAAATTCAATTGAGTAATAACAACAATTTGTACAGGGCAAAACGCTGAAGAAAATTTATTGGGCCTAATAAAGGTCTTCATTGAAATTTTCATTGGTTGCATGGGCTTAAGACTTGAATCTGAGAGAGAACAAACGCGATTCCAACCTCCCCCCCGCCCCCGCCCCCAAAAAAAAAAAAGGCAAATTGTGCACCCTTTGAGTTGGAACACAAAGCATAATTAAAAGGTAAAATTACTATTGGGCTCTTGGGAGTGTTCAACTTGCCCCAAACAATACTTAAATGAATCTAACTAAATCAAACAGTCAGGGGAAAAAAAAAGTAAAGTAAAATTGCATCCTTTATGTAGAGGTATTCTTTCGGTGTTTATTTTGTCATTGGTGAAGATTGAAGCTTCATATAACCTACAAAACCACAGATTATGAATCTCATAATCCTTTTATGGCAAACTTGACTGCTTTAAAAGTGAGAACAGCTTGTGTTCTGGAGGAGAAGGGACGAGCTAAAGCTTAGTTTTGAGGAACTCACATCAAACACCACCAGATTGTCTTCCAATTGATGCCCACCAATTACAATTGAAGCTTTCACAAATGACATTCTTGGCTTCGTTCCTCCATCGACAAATCCCAAGCACTCCACATTTTTCTTCGTTGTTACCATTGAATTTGCCCTATGAATAGTCCATTTCACTCCTCTTTGTAGCTCTAAATCAATACTTGGCACACCAAATCTGGTAATCGAGCTTGAATCGTAGCATGCATCAAATGGTGGCACTGAAGCCACTCTCTTCAATTTCTTGCCCGCAGCCTGTTTGATGAATTGTCTCAGAAAGGTCTTGTAAACTGTGCTTTGAAGCTCCGTGAAAGGAGTCATGGTACTGATTTTGGTACCCCCATTTCCCTTTTTGTCAATGGACAACAAGGAAGGCTTTAAGTTCACAACACTGCCGTCAATCCTAATTGATTTCACATCAATGAAGTATTCATAAGAGGGGACACCACTTACGGACACCGGACCTGTTGCAACAGGGTTGACAACAAGCGGGGTAGTTTTGAGAAACTTGGACACATCTCTATCACCAATGAGCATATCAGCAAATCCTTTGTTGGTTGAAGATGGTAAACACACAGAAAACTTGTGAGGAAGCTTGTAAGCTGATGAGAGTTGTGTAGGTACTGCTAAATCTGTCCTAGCAAGTCCTATGATCCCAGAACTACCTTTGGGCAAAACCTTCTAGATCATTAAACTCAGATGATGAGGAAGAATCCGAGGGCGAACAGCCCGATAGGAAGTGAGGAACTCGAAGATGAGGCATGTACAAGACATCATCACCTAAGCTACCACTATAGATAAATCTACCCAAAATGTTGATTATGTTTTAAGGCCACAAGTGTTGTTTGAGCAACCTGGTCTAAAGGGGCCAGAGCAACCAAGACATCCTCCAGTGTGAGGGCATTTTTCCAGCTCACAAGGGACAGGATTGTAGGATGATGAATTGTAGTGGGTATTGCAGTCATACCACAAGGTCGGTCCAGAAAGATCAACCACTAGGTTCATGTTGTGTTGAGGAGTTCCTATGCCAAGTGAAGCAAAGTAGAGATTGGTTGATGGATCTTTCTTGATGGGAATATTGAAGGGATAAGATTGATCAGAAAGTGAAAAGCAGGAGGGAACTGAGAAAATGGCTAATGAGAAGAGGAAGAAGTGGAGGGTTGAAGAAGCCATTAGAAAACCAGTTCAATGCTTTTTGCTCCGCTCAAACCGGAAAGTGAAGTGGCTTTTATAAAGGCAACGCGTGTATTGAGCTTATCTTATTTTGTTGGCTTGATGAACATACGTAGATCTTATCTTGACCATATTTATTGCTCTTCGAAGTTTCGTCAGAAAAGATGGTTACTTGCAGAATGAACAATCCGTACGCTGTCTTGGAGTCGGCTCTTTATTTATTCTAGCTCTAGAGGGGTGATAAGTTCTATTTAGTTATATATAACAAAATCCTTCAGTATTGAATCATATGACGGTCAATAACTCAATAATTTTATGTGGATTTCATGCTGGAATTTTTTTGAGATTCAATTTCTCTGCATTAGATAAAACCAAGAATGTTTTGAAGGTGAAACTGAAAGGGTCTACACGAACTCCTCTCTGTACTCTCTTCACAATGATTAGAAGAAGAAAACGAAGAAGAAAAATCTGCAGAAAATGAGGAGGTAAAAAAATCAAAGTCAAACAACAACAACTAAAACCATGGTCCAGCGAAAGGTTTACCACTTGCCATCTTTATTATCCAACCAGCACCAGCGTGTACCAACTTGGTCTTCATAAAGCAGTCTGTTAATTCATGTCCCTTATTAGTATTATGTTTCAATTTATAAGAAACTTTCAGATAAAATCACACACACACCAATAAAACTTATTATATATGCTTTATAATCTTAATTTTTTAAAATAAAAATATAAACTTTTAAAAATAGTTTTCATTTAATATTCTATTTATAAAAAAATATTAAATGAAGTGAATATATGAAAAGAGTACTATTAAAAAAGTATCATTAATAAATGTATTATATTTTAAGATGTCAAATCTCTTCTAAAAGTGTTTTATAAATTAGAATGGAGGGAATACATTGCCCAAATCAGGTTTTTCTCAGATAATTTTAATTTCTTAAATTTATTGATATAGTCTAGACTGAAGAGACCTAGTCCAAGCTTTAAAAAAAAAAAAAAACTCATTGCTAAAAAATTATCTACTGAAAGTTTTCTGCTATATTTCTGTTACCTAGCTATCACAAAATGAAGATCTTGCTGTGTGAATATTGAGAATACATTTCTCATAGATAAAACATCCTTAAAGACAATGGTCATATTTTAAGCCAATGCTTTTCCCCATTTTTTTCAACATCATCATCAACTGTGTTAGTACAAGTAAGTTAGTGCTCCATTGATTAATTATTAATCTGTATTGCTTTTAGCTTTTAGCTTTTAGAAAACCATTTTAAAATTTTTAAACTACCATTTTTCGCAAATGGCACTTAAATAATTTATCAATGAAACACTAACTTGTATTAACACACAGTTGATGATGTTGTTGAAAAAATGGGAAAAGTATTGGCTTAAAATATGACCAACGTCGCTGTCTTGAAGGATGTTTTGTCTATAAGAAACGTATCCTCAAGATTCATTCAGCAAGATCTTTATTTTTGTCATAGCTAGGTAACATAAATGTATAAAAGAAAACATTCAGTAGATAAAGGCTAGTGCAGAAAATGTAGTAATGGGAAGTTTAATGATGGTATCTTTTTTTTTTTTTTTGAGAATGATAAATAAATTTCTCTGAAATAGAAAAATAATAATTTCATCCAGATAAACATGATAATGATAATAAGGTTTTAAAGGTTCTTTTGAGATTAAATTTGTGTGAAATTACTTTAATACCCTTATGTGAGTTAGAAATAACTTTCTAAATCATTTTAATCACTAATAGAACCAAACTTGAGAATATTTATACAAAGCTTGTAAGTAATATAAAATTAGTTTGATTTTACTGATAGAAAGTTGTGCTTCTATAAATTGTTTTAGTTATTGTTGAAACTAAACTTGTAAATATTTATACCAATCTCGTGAATTATATAAAATTAGTTGCAAATTGGCACAAGAGTAATTTCACACAGTAATTTAATTTCAAAGAAATTTCTTGAGACCTCAAAAACCAAATCATCATTTTCCTAGTTCAACGAGATTTATGTCATTCTCTTTTTTTTTTTAAGCTAAGATCATGCCTCTTCAGTTAAGACTATAACAACAATATAAGAAATTAAAAGTAATCGACAAAAAACTGAATTGGGCTTTTGAAAAAAATGCAATAAGGAGGGACATGCATTAATAGCCAACTTTATGACGACATAAATTAATTCACAACATTTTAAAATCCTATTAAAAAATACCCATATTTAATATTTGATTGTATTTCGAATAAAATTACCTTAAATACATGGTTTTAGCGTTGTGTATGCAGTTGTTGCTTGGATACTAAAGGTGGCAAGTGGCAGTCCTTGTGCTGGACCATGGTTTTAGTTGCTGTTGTTTGACCTTGACTCTTTCAAAGATATTTCAACATCAAACTAAAAATATGGCTTCTTAAACCGCGTAAAACTATTGAGTTGTTGACTTGCTTATGATTCAATACTGAAGGATTACTATATATAAAAGTTCTCTCTCTTTTAGAATTAATTATGAGCTGTGAAGAATCCAAGTACATGAGAGCGTACGGATTGTCCATTCTGCAAGGAGCCAGCCATCTTTCCTGACGAGTCAAAGAGCAATAAATATGATCATGATAAGATCTACACATGTTCAAGCCCAAAAAATAAAGATAAGCTCAATACATACATTGCCTATATAAGAGCCATTTCACTTTCCGGTTTGAGCAGAGCAAAAAGCATTGAACTGGTTTTCTAATGGCTTCTTCAACCCTCCACTTCTTCCTCTTCTCATTAGCCATTTTCTCAGTTCCCTCCTGCTTTTCACTTTCTGATCAATCTTATCCCTTCAATATTCCCATCAAGAAAGATCCATCAACCAATCTCTACTTTGCTTCACTTGGCATTGGAACTCCTCAACACAACATGAACCTAGTGGTTGATCTTTCTGGACCGACCTTGTGGTATGACTGCAATACCCACTACAATTCATCATCCTACAGTCCTGTCCCTTGTGAGTCGGAAAAATGCCCTCAAACTGGAGGATGTGTTGGTTGCTCTGGCCCCTTTAGACCAGGTTGCTCAAACAACACTTGTGGCCTTAACATAATCAACATTTTGGGTGGATTTATCTATAGTGGTAGCTTAGGTGATGATGTCTTGTACATGCCTCATCTTCGAGTTCCTCACTTCCTATCGGGCTGCTCGCCCTCGGATTCTTCCTCATCATCTGAGTTTAATGCTCTAAAAGGTTTGCCCAAAGGTAGTTCTGGGATCATAGGACTTGCTAGGACAGATTTAGCAGTACCTACAAAACTCTCATCAGTTTACAAGCTTCCTCACAAGTTTTCTGTGTGTTTACCATCTTCAACCAACAAAGGATTTGCTGATATGCTCATTGGTGATAGAGATGTGTCCAAGTTTCTCAAAACTACCCAACTTGTTGTCAACCCTGTTGCAACAGGTCCGGTGTCCGTAAGTGGTGTCCCCTCTTATGAATACTTCATTGATGTGAAATCAATTAGGATTGACGGCAGTGTTGTGAACTTAAAGCCATCCTTGTTGTCCATTGACAAAATGGGAAATGGGGGTACCAAAATCAGTACCATGACCCCTTTCACAGAGCTTCAAAGCACAGTTTACAAGACCTTTCTGAGACAATTCATCAAACAGGCTGCGGGCAAGAAATTGAAGAGAGTGGCTTCAGTGCCACCATTTGATGCATGCTACGATTCAAGCTCGATTACCAGATTTGGTGTGCCAAGTATTGATTTAGAGCTACAAAGAGGAGTGAAATGGACTATTCATAGGGCAAATGCAATGGTAACAACGAAGAAAAATGTGGAGTGCTTGGGATTTGTTGATGGAGGAACGAAGCCAAGAATGTCATTTGTGAAAGCTTCAATTGTAATTGGTGGGCATCAATTGGAAGACAATCTGGTGGTGTTTGATGTGAGTTCCTCAAAACTAAGCTTTAGCTCTTCCCTTCTCCTCCACAACACAAGCTGTTCTCACTTTTAAAGCAGTCATGTTTGTCATAAAAGGATTGTGAGATTCAGGGCACGGAATCTCTCCTGGTTGTTGCTGCCTGGTTTATATTCTGGTGTAGATCCTAGCCATTTATTTTATAAAATATGATCCAATGGTTAATATTTTTTGTTGGTTGTCTCCGCGCAGGGATAAGTAATTGCCAAACTGCAATCCAAAAATCATATCAGAAAAATGAAACTTGTTAAAAACATCGATATGATATATCACTTTTAACAAGTTACAAAATGAATATTGATATGTGCATCACAACATTCCTTAATCTTTCATGCTCCTAAACTGCTCAAACAGATATTCAACAACCCGAACTCGGAACATAAAGAAAGGAGTTAACTTCGTGTAAAAAATTTCACTAACAGCAGGTGAGTGAAAACTCTAAGGGCAACCGATGAATTGATTATTGAACATTGAAGCTCAAAATTTGGCGATAGATGGGATGTAGATATCAAGTAAAATAAGAAAGAAAGAAACAGATAGATGCACAACGAGTATGGACGAAAAATGAAAATTGGATTTGAAAAAAAAACGGGGGGGGGGGGAAGAAACAAGAAAAAAGTACCTCCGAGAAGGCCAACTCCGACGCCAACGCCGAAGGCGGGTCCCACCTTGCCGAATTTTCTGGACTTGAACACCGGAAGTTTCCACAGCAAACCCTTCTCCTCATCGTCGTCTCCTCCGTTCATCTTTGGAGAGTCAGGGTTTCGCCGAAGGAGCAAGGCAACAGTATCAAACTATCCATCACCAGAGCCACTCAACACAGCACTGCACATTGCATAAAAAACCTTCCTAGGTCCTCCCTCACCTTTGAAATGTTTTTCCTTTTATCTCAACAAATTGTTAAATGAGAAAATTAATAAGCGAATCTTATAAATTACCCTCTCTTAATCAAGATATTTTTAAGGATAATTTAATATTTCAAAATACAAGCTAACATAATTATACTTATTGTAATATTAATTTTATCTCTTTAATATATTTTTTCTATTTATTTAATGTTTAACAAATAATGTTATATTAAATGAAGGTCTGTTTTAAAAAAATTATATTTGTATTTAAAAAATAACATTATAAAGTGTATTTTATAAATTTTATTAGTACACATGATTTAAAAGATATCTTGTAAAATAAAACAAAAAAGAGTACTATCTTAATAGCTGGTAACTCACAGCTCACAACCATAGCCTGTAGCAGATTAAGGATTCATTTTAATTTTAAATGGATATAATTAATTATAAAAATAATTAATTAATATGATTAATTTTAATTATAATTAATTATGTTATAATACAATTTGTTTGAATATTATTTTTTAAAATTAATTTTAACAGAATTGAAGATGTTTGCATGATTTAGTCAAAATTAATTTTAATTGTATAAATTATCATAAAAAATATTTATTTTTAAAATTAAATTATTAATAAATTTGTATATAATATTATTAGGAAATCATCTTTGCTATCATCAAAATATTAAAGTGTTAATGCTTAATACAATGAGTTTTAATTTTAAAGCTTTTCTTTTGAAATCTTCTATTCTAACAAGTTACCTTCAAGTTTTAACCTAACTCTATTTAACAAATTAATAGTAATCCATTTAATATTTATATAATTTAGCATATATTTCTTTTGTTTAAAAATATAAGATATTTCTAACTGAATTTTATTCTTAATAAAGTAATTACTTATCCTCAAATTAATTATATCTTTCCATCTTTACCATTATTTAAGAGGAGCATCTTTTTTTAAAAAAAAAAAAGATAATGATTACACTTTAAAAAATTAAAAATATTTTATATTTTTTAACATTCAACTACTTAAAAGATACCTATATTTTTTAAGGGAGAGAGTATATCTTAATTATAAAAATTTAAATCATATTATATATTAATATTAATAATTTAATATATGTAAAAATTAAATCCATAAAGCCCATGAAATTCTACCCTATCACCAATAATATCACTATTGTTTTAGCTTTGAAATCAATCTTTAGGGGTATATTTGACAAGTGAATTATCTGACAAGTAATAAATGCATTCAAATGTAAAATTGAAATCCTAGCTTCATCCATTAATCGATTTCAGTTGACATAATTGATTATGAAAAAGATGGGCTGTTTGATTAAATTCTTCACTAATTAATTTTTTTTTGCCCAAAAAATCGATTAAAACTTCAATCCAAACAGGCATTAAAAATTTGCAACCCTCCCATATATATTTTAAAATGATTACATAATTAGTCCTCAAAATTGCTGATCGGAACGCTCCAGAATAGAAAAGCAAGGTGTGATGCTGATAACTTGATGAATATGTAATTAAGAGTTAAAGGGATAAATTTACTCTAAAAATTTTACAATAAATATAATTGGTATCTTTAATTTTTTGTTTGATATAATGTTACTTTAAAAGTTTAAAAAATGGTATAATATTTCAGGCCAAAAAAAGGCATAATATCGTCTTATAATGTCGTTTAATTAATATTAATAGTTTGTTGAACAATTTTAAATGTTAGGAGCAATTTTTTCATATCCTAATTAAACTCTAGATTGGACCAAACTTGCCTCTTGCAATAGATAAGTCGTGAGTGATGTACAATTTTTAAAGAAATTCCTATGGACTGATGATAAATAGAATCCTTCGCATGCAATTTAAATGTACAATTGGGTATTCCGAGTGATAAAGTGTTCTTGCCATCACAATTCACCAACATTTATTCCAAGTTGCTGCAATTCATCCCTTCCACTTTGGACTAGTATTTGTTGTGCACAGGTAGTTTTGAGCATGTATTTGTTCATGGTTAAACATACACAGGCCCAGACTTCCTCATGAACACATGTATGTGTAAGCAAAGAAAAAATAAGGTCACCTTTGGTTGTTAAAAATAATGAAAATGGATTAAAAATTAAAAAAAATGAACTAAAGCTATATTCTCTCTTATGGTAAGCATAATAAAACTCAATATCATATTACAAATGTAGAAATTATCACATCTTTTAAAAAATTCATGAATTACTCTCAATCCCATAAATTAAATTATCATATTTCCTTATGAACACGGTTCACCTATTTCCTTTTACATTTTAATCATCTTATTTTTATATTTATTTTTTTAATTCATTCTATTTCATTTTTTTCTAGCAACCGAGCAAGAAATAAGTATAGATTTTGTTCAAAGGCAATATTTTTAGTTATCAATTTTTAAATAAAAAGAAGGAAACACTTTCAGGTATATAACCACACCAGAACTCTTCGTTGGCTTAATTTCTAAAAGTCTGTTTGATTTTCTTACATTTCACATCCAAATAAATTTATGAATGTTAAAGTTGTTTGATTTTCTATAATTTGTCCCAATCATTTTAAAAGTACATTTGAAAAGTTCTAAAAGTCTATTTCTTCAACTCAACTTTAGGTAGCATTTTGGAAGTGTTTTCAATATTTTTGTTAGTTGATTCTTTTTTCGCCCAAGGCTTCATCTAGAAACAAAGCCAAGAAAATGAGAGGAAAAACAAACAAGAAACTAAACAACACATAAATAGTAATAGAAATAAAGCCTATTAAAAAACACTCTATTAAATGATATTGATGACATATGTTTATTAATTTTCTGCCCATAGAAAACACCGCATTAAAAAATAATTTATTATATTAATTTTTAGTATTAATGTATATTGAATTATTTATACAATTATTGTTCAATATATCATAAAAATAATTTAATTTCTATTATTTATCATTATTTTATTATAAATGTTTTCCCAACTTTTTTAGTTTTACATTATTTTGTACAATTTGTATTATATAAATTATTCAAAATAAATTAATAATATTAATAATTAATAATATTATTAATATTATAAATTATAATTTTATAACTTATCAAATATAGATGGATCTTAGTCAAAGTTGCCAAATTCATGAGTTTAAATAAGCTCGTGATAGAAATGTGAACTCATATCATAAATTTGTAAGATTTTACTTCTATTAATAAATGACCATTAAAAATATATAGTTAAATAATTAAAATATAAAATATGGCCATAATTTCATTTAAATATATTTTAAATATAAATCATTGAAATTAGATTCATTTACATAGATTATCATAGAAAATATATAAATTTTAAAATAGGACAACTTATTTTTAGTATTTTTTGTTTTCTTTTTCATTAATATAAGCTTTTCTTTTTAAGTTTATTTTTTTCTTTAAATTAGATCCTATCACTTCTATGAATTGAATTTTACTGTATATACTGAACTCGATCAACTCGGTAAAAAATAAACGAGCTTGGCAAGTTTAAATAATTTTGCATCTCGTCCATGTTTATAAATTAGTTGATACAATTTTGTAAGTTAGAAATGTAAAAATACTAAACTCTAAGAATAAACTCTAGAATTTGACAAACACACTTTTAGTTAAATTAGATAAAAGTAGACTCAAAAGTATTCACAGATGCACTTATAATTATCAATATTTTTATAAAAAATAGTCTCAAATCATATTTTATACATGTGAATTGTTCAAAAATAAAGTTAGTTTTTAACGAGGATTTAATTTTTAAAATTTTCTAATTCTTAAAAAAATTTTAAGTTTTTTAATACTATATTTAAAATTGTCCAGTTTTTTAAAAAATATTCATATTTTTAACTTAATAGTAACTCAACTTTAATCCAATATGGCTCAATCATAAAAATAATTTTTTAATCCAATTTAAATCATTAATGACTCTAATTCACAATCCAACCGGTTTAACCGTCCGGCTGTATTTGATTTTTGAAACTATGCTTTTTAGACTCGAAATTATTGATGGCCGCTCAACCCGTTGTTTTCCCACCTCGATTAGACACCCTCCAATAAAAACACACCAGCTCTATAAAATAAAAAAGTGCGTGACTATAAAAAAGTTGATTTAATTTCATACACATTTTAATTTATTAATCTATATTTTGAACATCAAGTTATCTTATGAGTGTCAATTTATGTTTTAAAAATTAAAAGACTAGTAATTTATGGATATGTAAAGTATAAAATTAATAAAAAAAACAAACCTGAAACAAAAAATCTAAAACAAATACTCTCTCCGTTTAAAAATATAATATATTTTGTAAAGAGT